CTTGGGCAGCATTGGGTTGGGATGTTTTCGTGATGCACATTTTCTTTACATAAAACTCTCTCTTCTACATGGTCGCTGTGGATTTGTTTCTCCAAAGTACCCAGACTAACACACACACATATAAATAACATTCCTGGCAGTTACTAACCTAAGTTTGTTACACGACATTCTTGGCTGTCTTCTGCATTCCCTAAACCCGAGAGTCGTCTTTCATTGCACTCTCTTCCGACCCAGTGCTGTGTCTCTTCACAGGACACAGGGAAGTCAAAGGGAAGCACAGGTGCTTAAGTATGCTGAGGTATATAATATCAAAAAAAAAGACTATCTACAATAAAAGGAGTCCCTGCCATGATGTCATCTATCTACTTATAAAAGGAGCCCGGGTGGCACAATGTTTTAAGTGCTCAGCTGTGAACTACCTAATAGCTCTGGAGGATAAAAGATCCGAAAATTTGCTCCCAAAAGATTACAGCCTGGAAAACTCTCTGGGGCAGTTAAACTCTGTCACGTGAGGTCATTATGATTTGAAATCAACTTGATGGGACTGAACAGCATTATCCGCTTACAAATTATGCCAGCGCTGTCTATTAAAAGCATAATGTGTGCCAAGGGAAACTTTAACAATCTTTTTACTTATTGAATGCTGAAATGATCAGAATTCAGATTCCCGAGATGATGCCAAATTATTTATCCTCATCAATTCAGGTTCTCAACTTCTTGCGAAGAAAATAAAAATAGGTATTTTTCCACAATTAAAAATTGTGTCCTTAAAAAAAAAATTGTGTCCTTTCTATTTGTAGGTCATCTTGAAAATTACTAAGATATGTTATCTCCAAAGTTTCCATCACAAACCACATGAAGTCTCTTGAACTGGCTGTCCTTGTATTTTAAACAGCATCCAGAGTAGAAAATAAGCAAGGATCTCATTCATTTTTAAAAAGACAAGAACACCGTATTACACCTTTAATGCCCTACAAACCAGAATAGGTACAAGGGGACTGACTGGGTAACCCCATATTCAATTTAGAATCAACTCCAATTTAAAGAAAACAGTCCAGCATGATCAACTGATTCAATCTAATTTAAACATTTTTTAAAATCAGATCACTTTCTGGGGTTTTGCTGGAGACCTAGCCTGGCATTTCTTGAAGTATCAACCAGGCACAAATACCTCTGGAGAATTTACGATTCTATACATCTTTGCAGGAAAGAAAACTCAAAATTTTGAAAGACATTTTAGAAAGGGGGATTTGAGGGAAACTTCCAAAACCATGGTTAACTCATGTAGCCAAATCTTACCATACTTACAATACGAATGGCAAATAACTGGTGTCTCTCGCCCACGTGGAGCCCTGGTGGCACAGCAATTATGGGTTGTGCTGACAACTGCAAGGTAATCAGTTTGAAGCCACCAGGAGAGAGATAGGGTTTTCTACTCCTGTAAAGAGTTACAGTTTCAGAAACCCAGGAGCAGTTCTACCCTGTCCTATACGGTCACGATAGTCAGTGTTGACCTGGTGACAGTGAGTTTAGTTTCCTGGTTTTATCGCCCACGTGCCAGGAGCTCTGGTGGCACCAAAGGATAAGTGTTGGGCTACAGCCAAAATCTCAACAGTTCAAGGTCACCAGCCACTCTGAGGGAGAAGCAGCCTGCCTTGCTCCGTTAAAGATCTAGTCTCTGAAACCCTGTGTAGGGTTGCTATAAGCCCGAGTCAACTTGATGGCAGTGGGTTTTGTACTTGGTTCAGTGTGTCACCCAAGTACAAGGTAACAAGGCTTCTGACATCTCATTCTTGGCTCTGAGAATCTAAGTATGTTTTACCATCCTTGCAAGCTGCAAAATCCATGAAAAGTAGCCTTTGCTTCACACAGACAAATGAAAATAAAAATTCTAACCAGGCCAAATATATATGAGGGTGCCAAGAGTTCCCATGCGAAGGGGCTTCAAAACATTCAGGGAAAAACATGGAATTGAAAGAACTGAAATTTCTCCACAAACTTCTTAAGTCCCCTCATACCCAGCAAATGCACCAGGGAGCCAGGTGATACCTTTTCCCTGAGCATGCTAGCTAACAGGAATCATCCATTTCTGAAACAGCGCTACCTTCGTCTTCAACATTCCCTGTGGTGACTAGGTGGAGAAAACGTTTTCAGAAAAAATGAAAAACAAATGGAGATGCACCCTCCCACCTTCCACAGCATTAGAGGAGACAATGTGGATGATCCTTTTCATTTTATACAACAAACATCTACAACGGTCTTTATTACAGCTAATGTGTCCTAAGGGTAAATGCCATTTCTAGAAATTACCGTCAGTCACGACACAAAGAAAGAAAAGTCTAAGTGGCCTGAATCAAGAATGTTACCTTGTCGTGAATTTCTGCAGTTGGGCTGTGAGTTGGGCAGCATGGGAGCACTGCCTTCTTCCGTTCTTTTCCTGGTGGTCACACTGGCCTCTTCGCTTGGCTGAAAAGAAGGGAAAGGTGTCTATCAGTGCAGTAAAATCACTGGGCGCAGGGGATGTAGCAGTTCCATTCTGGCTCCCCAGTCAGTGTGAACACAATGGGTTACACACAAGAAAGGTCAGACACTGCAGTACACACAGTCACCAAATAAAGGCACCACCTCTCAACCCATGGTGAGCAGAGCTGGGAGAGAACTATCTCTGCACAAAAGGCCAAGAGCTGCCGCCACAAACATACTATCAGTATTGAAGCCGCTAGCTAACTACAAAATTAGGGATAAGCCAAAAACCATGTGAAACCATCAACATATAACAAGATAATCATAGTTTTCTTAGGTTTGAGGAAACTTTAAGAAATGGTCTGACATGAATATAACTACAACAAGCCCATTAAATTCTGCAAAGCTGCTTTCTTAAATGCCAGTGTAAGTACACAGTCACATACACACATAAACACACTCATACACATACACAAAGGCACAGATAGATAGATAGATATAAGGCACACACAAGCCATGAGGAGACACAACTGGAAGAACTGAAGAGCAGAAGTGCTACATCCCAAAGCAAGTTCAGAGACTGGACCTCTGACATGGGCAGAACAGAGAAGGCTCACTCTGTCCCTGGTCTATGAACTCCCAAGATCCTTAGTACATCTGGGGAAAGGTCTTGGGAGTCCAAGGTCCATAGGTACAGAGAAGGGGCCACTCTGTACAACAAAAGAAGTCACCATGTGGTGATTTTACCTTCAGTTGGTCTTGGCTTGGAATATCCATACTGTGATCTTGTGCGAGAGCGAGAGTCTGAGCGGCGGCATCTGGATAGCAAGTAAAACAAAAGGAAAACCTTCCCTGGTAATAACCATTCTTTCCACACAAAAAGGACTTCAGCAAACCACCCTGGAGCCAGGTTTGGTCCCCAGAGAGGACTTATGCTTAACGGCAGGTCAAGGGTCTCACTGGCAGGAAAGGGGAAAAATCCAAGTGATAAGACCGAGACAGGGCATACTCAAAACAAACGGCCACACTTTCACCTGGGGCCCATGGAGTCCGGGACTCAAATGGCTAAGTGTTCTACCGCGGAGCACTACCTCAGTTTTGGTAGAAAAGTGGCTCCAAACAGGAAATCATGAAGACTTTCACAACTCTTGCTGTAGGAGCTCATTACCAATTTTCACTAATTTGCCTTGTGGGCAAACAGGAACAGTGCTTTCTCATGTATTTTTTACGTGTTAAACGTTAGACAGGGCTATTAGATCTGAAAATGTGGAGTTTCCCCACCCACCTGCATCGTAACAAACAGCATTTTCATGAAAATCTATATTCTGAATGTCCGTTAAGATTTGATGCTTTAGATCACAGGTTCCTAAACTTATTTGGCCTACTGTCCCCTTAAGAAAAATGTTACTCAGTGCCCTAGCAATTTAAAACTTTTGTACTATAGCCCATAATCCAGGATAAAGGATAGGAATCCACTCTTTCGCAGGCGCCCCACCTCCCCCATCATTCCAGAAACCCCAGTGGGGCAGGATCGCCCACTTTGGGAAACACTGGTTTAGATATCTGACATACAAACTCCCACCTAATTTCACAAAATGTTTTAAAGAAAAAACAACAACAACATAAGAGTTCACGGTTTAAAGGACTCAAGTAGAAAGAAAATATTTTGAAAATGATGGCAGCATATGTACACATGTGCCTGACACAATGGATGGATGTATGGATTGTGATAAGAGCTGTAAGAGCCCCCAGTAAAATGATTTAAAAAAAAAAAAAAGTTCTTGGTTTAAATGCCCACAGCCTAATTGTATAGATAACCACCCCCACCCCTCAAAAGGGTCTTACTCTTACTATTGCTATAATAAACATTTCCTAAAAAGAGAAAACAGGTAAAAGCTTTTCTAAATGCCAATTAAAAAGGTGCAAAGAAAACAAAAATCTAGCAGACAGACTTCTTAGATACTGAGTTAATCTAAGAGATGAATGTATTTAAGGGTCTTAGAAATTGTTCAAGCAGAAGAGAAGCAGGAAACTGGCCACAGTTATTGAACGAGCCAGAGACCTCCACCGTCCCTTGCTGTATGACACTATATGTGATAGAGACGCAAGCACATAAGTCTATCCAGGCCCAAAGTTAAGTGCGTCTGCAAGAGATCGCTCCTATCTAGTAAAGAATGGCAGAGGAAAGTAGTTATCGTCCAAATGGTCAAGCACAGCTGTGTTGCACAAAGCCAATGTTTTCAAAATTAATGTTATAAAGTACATTATTTCTAGAACAATTTTAATAAATGAGATACTGAGTTTCTAAAGACAGCATTTTCTAACCACAGTATTGAAAACAAAGTTCAATTAATATGGAATGCAAATGAGACAAGTTTTTAATAAAGCCAATTCTATCCCCATCATCATGTGCAGTTCTAAAGTTTTGCTCCTTTACTTAGGTTACAAGAGAAGCAAAGAGCAATGATCTCTGGGAATACTACAACGTATACAATGGAAATGTGAAATAACTACAAGGTCTAGCACGCCTGTTCCATTTTATCAGCATACGTGGCTTAAGAACCGCCTTCACTTTAAATAAATTTTCTTCAACCATCAAACAAAAGATTAGCTCTGATATTTGTAAAGCTGGGAGGTGGGTGAGGTGGAAAAGCATTTTTCTCATTTAGCCTCTCAAATAAAACCCATGAAATCTAATTTCATAAAGATCAATAGAGACAGCCAACCACAAGCATCGCTTCGAGTACAAGTCAAAGCAGACAGTCAATCAAAGTCAGTTGGGGCAATTTCCTGGTCTTGACTATTGTTCTGTGCTTCAGACAGATGTTACCAGGTGGGGCTTCTAGGTAAAGAAGCTACATGGGAGCTTTTCCTCCCTGGCTGCCATCAGGAACAGCACAGCATCGGTCAGAAACAGGAAGCCCATGACTGGTCAACTAGTCCAGGGAAAAATAAGTCACCGATGTCCTTCACACTGAGAAAGCCAACAGTGCTTAAGACAGAAATTCCGGGGAAACCGGCCAAAATGCACAAGACCACACCAGAGGCCATCTTTGCTCTGCATTCAGAACCTGATTCATTGGTGGCCCGAGTGCTCACTGACTTCAGCATGAGCCAGGATCCCTTGGACTGCGCAAAGAGAAATGAACCCAAACAGAGAGCTGCAAGGGATGCCTTACAAGAGAAGCGAGAGACAGCAAGAAAGGAATGTACGAAGCAAATGAGGGAAGTCAGGGGAGGCTCCAGAGGCCAGTGTTTGGTGCTGGCAAAAACCGAGCTGGAGACTGGGTCACAGGAGGAATACAGGTTCTGCAGTTCCTTGTACGGATTGTAGTGACTGTACGGATTTTTCACCAGAGGAGTAATAAACTATACAATACTTAATTTTTTCAAGAGAGTGAGTTTATGTGATCTCTTCATAATATTTTTGTAAATTTGGGGGGAAATCTGAACTTATTGCAAATGACCAATCAGAAATTTTTCAAAATGTTTTTCATGTTTAAACAAGCAAACAAACAAAAGAATGTCAAAAATAACACGAACCCATTCTACTACAATCCCAGGCTAAAGGTGACCTCAGCGTGTGATACAATGGAAAGAGCAGGGGGCGGCTCCCACATTATTGAGAAATTCTTTTATCTCTAGACCAGCCTCAGAGCTACTGGGAAGCAGGAATGTCTATAATATATAGCCTAAATACTTTGTTTCTAAATTTTATATATATATATATATTCTAAATTTTATATATATACACAAGGGGCCTGCAAAAAGTTCATGGACAAATGGATTAAAAGATAATAGAATTCTTCCACAGTTACTGATGTCCCCTTGTGTACATTATGTAAGTTTTTGTAGGCAAAGTGCAGGAGAGAAAATGTGAGAACTATACTGACTTTAGATAGTCAAGAGAACAAAAGAATCAGAAAGCGAATTTCACTGAAAGGGTGGACTGGCCATTAGAACATCTTCCATGTACTTCAAGTTTTCAGTGGCTATCCGAAGAAAACCACACTCACACATGAGTGAGTCGCAAGAAAGCTGCCAGAGCACTTGCAGCAAGGCGTCCCTCTCCAACAGAAATTTACAGCGACCGGCAGCAGGTAGGTTTCCTACTGTGGGCAAGACACCCCATAAAACCAAACAAGCTTCAAAATCCATCTTCAGTTCAAAATCATGTTGCAACGTAAGAACAAAGTCTCTTTCTCTACTTTAAAGCATAAGTCTTTGTTAGGGGTGTATTCTTTCAACTTATTTATTTCCATAAACTATCAAAGCACAATCAATCTAAAAACATTACAAGTTTGGGCTTTCAGTCAAAGGTCAATATTAGCTAAAAGCTACTCTGAAGCTCACAAAGGGGCTTCCTGGAGGAGTGGCATGAGGGGGAAACTTTCATTACGTGGAAGTGAGTGTGAGATTAAGGTTAGAAGGCAACTGTACCCACTTTCTTCCTACGTACCCCTTGGAGACTTCCAGCCCCAAAGCAGTCCGTTCCCTGCACATAGCGAATGAAGTCATAATGCCAGGCTTAAAAGGTACGGGATCAAACAAAGGTTTAAACAAACGGACACTCACAGAACAAGGTTAAAATCATCGGAGGGTGTCCTGGTGACGGAGTGGCTAGGTGCTTGGCTGCCAACTAAAGGTCAGTGGTTTAAACCCACCAGCCACTCCACAGAGAAAATGTACCACTCTGCTTCCTTCTACGATTACAGCCTCTGAAACCCTGAGGGACCGTTCTACTCGGTCCCAGAGGGTGGCTACATTAGGTTCAAATGGACCAGACAGTGAGTTTAAAAATCATTAGGGGGAAAGGTTTTGAGGGGAACCTTCATAACAGGTGGGCCCCGTTAACAACACCTAAGCCTACATCATAAAAAGTGGAGCAGGGTGATGTAGCAAAAATACAGAGTGATGTAGCAGAACTGGCTGTGATGTAGCAGAAATACAGAGTACCACCTCTGGTGCTTTCTTTACGTTAAAAAAGCAGAGTCAATTTGAGCACTGAGATCTATATTACTAGTCTACAAAAAATAGGGGAGAAAGAGACCCAGTCTATAAGCGAAACCACAAGGGTACAATGTGCCGACTGTACCATATGAGTGACTGGACGGCAAACGAGCCAGTCTTCAACAAATAAATAACACGAAAACAAAGGAGGGTGCACTAACAGACACATCAACCAAGTGTGAGGTGTGGGCTTTGGATCCTGATTAAACAAGCCAAATGGAAAGGATACTTCTGAAATAACCAGAGAAGAAAATACATAAATGCTATTAAAAAGTGACATGAAATTGTTAGTTTTGTGTTACTATTCATTTAATGGGTGCAATGGGAGCCCTGCAGTTATCTTGGAACAGAAAAGGTCTATATCTGTTAGAAAAAAAGGGTTTAACTATGTGTAAATTAAACAAATGTGGCAAAACTTTCACAACTACTAAGTCTAGGAGCTAGGCATGGATAACACCATGCTATTTTCAGTAAGTCTGAAATGTTCACAACAAAAAGCACAGCAATGAGCTTCTATGTAACAAGCCGTTTGCGTCTTTCACCACTGTCAAAGGGACCATTCCATTTCCATCACCAGCGCCTTGCGTTCCAGCCATTCACCCCCTTAAACTCAGAGCTACGATACAGACTGAAGAAATAAGATTTGACATACCTGCAGCAGGAGTGGTTAACGTGTCAAGATTCTTTCTTAGCATATCATAAAGAGGGCTGTTAAAGAGGTAAGACAAAAATTTACAATGAAAAGCACACCCTGAAGATAGTTTTCCATTAAATATTAAATATAGCTTTGATATGCTATTTTCCAACTTTCTCTTTAAAGTGTGGAGAGGCATTTTTCTCCCTAATAGATCTGTAAATAGCAATATTCTAATACTCAAGCTCCTGTGATATTTTGCTTCATCAAAAAAAAAAAATTAGTTTACAGTTCATGTCATTAGCTAACAGGAACCCAAATAGGGAAACCCCTTTGTAGAATATTCCTTCCTTCCAAGAGTTAAATTTTATATTTTAATGGGGAGTAGAGTAGGGCAGTGGGAGTTCATTGAAGTGAGATAAAACAAGGCTATTACAAAGCTACAGAGCTAGAAAGAGAAGGCTCGCTTTTGACTGTATAAACCAATTGTCACATATCCCCATGCTGCAAGGAAAGTCAGCAACAGGTGGGACCAGCTTCACTGTGATCCTAAGTTCATGATTATCAACTGCCCAGTCATTCTACCTTTTTTCCTCACCAGCTCTCCCCAAGTATTTCCTCTCTCCCCAAGTATTTCATGAAATCCCAGCCTAACCACATCAAGCTCCCTGCTACCCAAGCTTCAATCTGCTTATAGTTCTCTTCCACCAAGCTTTCTAACGCACTCTTTAATCATCCTTCAGCTCTCAATTCAAATGTCACTTCCTCAAGGAACTTTTTTCAGGATCCTCAGATGCCAAACTCCAATCACAGCACTTAGTGTCATCTTCCCAGGTATTGGTGTGGAAGCTACTACACTCTTTGGTCCGTAAATGCAGGGACTATGTCTGTGTTGCTCACCAGTGTTTTCTCTATGCCCGTGAACCACGTGACATATGCAGTCCCTTAAATATTTGTTGACTAAACAAGTAAAGAACCATTAATAGCCTATGAGGTGGGGGGAGCAGGGAGGGAGGGGGGAAATGAGGACCTAATGCCGGGGGTTTAAGTGGAGAGAAAATGTTTTGAGAATGATGTACAAATGCGCTTTACACAACTGATGTGTGTATGGATTGCGATAGCAGTTGTATGAGCCCCTAATAAAATGTTTTTAAAAAAATAGCCTATGAGGTTAAATAGCTGGAGGTAGGCAACCAAAAAGAAATAAAAACCCTCACTCTTTTTACCTTGGCTCTTTCACGGAGAAGCTCTGGCGTCCTAGCAGTTCTCCTAGAAGATCTCCCCCACAATACACCATATGCTGCTTCTGCTGGTCATAAAGCTGCTTCATCATGATATATTGGCCTAGATACTGCATGACCTGCATGAGAATAAAGTACCATGAAAAGAGCTGTCGAGCTGCTGCCAAAAACCCACAAATTCTGGGGAGATAAAGGATGCTGTTAGTTTGCTGACGGGAAGAAAGAACTCCTACTTCTGAACAGGGCTGTTGTTGATTCAGAGTGCCTGTACAAGGGAATCTCAACAGGATGGCATTACCACTCGGGACATCAATACCTCTTAACAAAGAAATACAGTGATCCGGCCATGAGAAAAAGAAGTAAATATACTTACTTCATAGTCCCTTTAAATTTTTTCTCTCCAGTCCAAATCTCATAAAAAGAAACACTTCTATTACTAGAAATAGCATTTTAAACTTGCCTGCGTCATAAAAATATTTCCAAAGACCAGGGGCCAATAAAAAACCTACTCTTTGCTTTAGATGTTAGTTAATTTAATTTAGGCGCAAATAGTACAATGTTTAATAGCCATCAACAGTTAAGAGCACAAAACATAGACTCTCTAGATGTTTATCAAATATAAAGTTAGTTTATCTGGCTGTTTTCCTCAAAGTTCACAGACAAATTCAAAAATTTTAAAGTACCTTTTGTTCTAGATGAAGCATTTCATATAACCTTTATTATATCATTCAGCTTGGTACCTACATTCTGACAATAGACTTGACTGAACTAAAAATAAATCTGTTGAAAAGAAATGCTTTTCCACAGGTAGCAAATTTAAACAAACAAAAAACACTTATTAAATTCACAGATTACAAGCAGACCAAAATGGCTTTCTCTTTAGACCCTAACTTCTCAGGACTACAAGGGACTTCGAAAAGTTCCTGGAAATTTTCCATAATCTTTCACTTCCATTTTCCACAAACTTTTTGAAGCCCTCTTATATATTAAATATTTGGATAGAAGATTCTCCCAACAATGTTCCCCCCAGCATGAAGCAATGATGCCTCTAGGCTACTCTCCATACTTTCCCCACCTCACACCTCTCCAATCTCCCTGCTGCCCTAGCAGCATGGCCCCATACTAAGAGATTAGCTGAGTTTTCATCTCATCAGTTACCGAGTAAACTAGGGGAACATTAGATGTGGAAGAGCATCTACTAGAGGACACAGGGTAAAATTCTTATGTCTGTCTAATTTTCCAAAAAGATACATCTACTCTAAGGACATCAAACCACGCCTACTGTTATGGGATCGATTCTGCCTGGCCACAGGGTTTCCGAGGCGGTAATCTTTGTGGAGGTGGAACTCCCACCTCCTCCTCCAACAGGAGTTGAGGAGTTCACACCATAATGCTATCAGTTAGAGCAGGCATAAGAGCCTAATCTCAAATACTACATTTGTACATGACACTTACTATTTTATTATATATTATCTCAGCAACACAGTGACAACAACCAAGATGTTTACAGGAATATCAAAAATCCTCCTTTATGAACTAGATAGGGTCAAGATTCAGAGAGTTAATTATATAAAATAACTTTTCTTAACTTTGTCCCAGTAAGACATTCCCCTGGATAACATGTACTTAAAT